TATTTAAAACGAGTTCTAAATCCAAAAGAATAAAGATAGTAAAATTTGCATAAATCCAGTTAGGCTCTTATTATATAAAGGTACACTTATTTTATTTATTATAGAGGTACATTGGTATTTATGTTTCTTTTCTGACTCTCAGGGTATTGAAGGTTTACAAATGATTAAAAGTTTACGAAGATATTATGAATCGTTATTTCTTTTCCAACATAGAAGTTTTAAAGTGCAGAGTACTTAAGAATTTTGTTTTAGAGCTAATTTTTGAATAGAAATATGGATAGTGAATTTTATTAAATTTTGCGATCATGTATTTAACAGATAATGTACAGGACGATTAACCACTATGTATAGCATAACAGAGTGATATTAGGTTAGTTACAGATTTTAAGAGAATCGGTTAAGTAACCTGTTTTTAGATATTATAATTGCATAATATATGAACTGTATGACATTATTATTATTTGAAGAAATTGAAAATTTTTAAATTTTTTTGTTCATAATAATGGAATCAATTTAAGTACATTTACATATATTACCTTGCAATGTGTATAAAATAATTTAATCTGCAGCTGGGTTGAATTTACTTGTAACTACCGGATTGTAACTCCCAAAATAATAAAACTTATGTTAAGGCTATACAATTGGAAAATATCTAAAATTTTCATTCAAAATCGTAACAAAACATTATCTAACTTCCATTCAGTTTTTCAATTTTGTATTTAAAGTAGCACATGCGGAAGCTAGTTTACAGTGTAAAAATAATATTATAGGAAGTTTATTAGTACCATAACTCTCTAAAATATTCTTATTTGTTGACGCCATATAACGAAACGAATAACATATTTTGACATATTAAAGTGAAAAAATTTATATGTACCCTAACATGCTTTTAAATTCGAAACTTTTTTGTTGCAATATACAAAAACTTCTCTTATACGTTGCAGGTACAAACATTTTGCTTGTTCTGCAATTGTTCTAATACAACATTCGTTTGTACAAATATATCAATTTATTTTATCATACACTTTAAATTCTCTGCGTATTAAATTTGTTTTTATTTCCCCTCTGTATTTAAATTTTTAACAAATATTTATTTTATTAAAATGGTTGAATTACTCGTAAAAGGAGAATAGGAAAAAAGGGATAATTTTTATGCTTAGATTTTTTTTTATAAATTTATTTTTTCTAGTTGTTAGGGGTTTCTAGTTTTTTCTTTATTTTTTAAGTGATTTACCTTTGATAACAAGAATATGTTTAATAGAATTTACGAATCTCCCTACAACTTTAACATTTTATTTTTGGAAATTATGCAAAAAATTGTTCGATTTTCATTAAAAAATTTTAAAGAAACCTTAATATACTGAATTTAAATGGAATTTTAGGCCTTAAAAATTATAAAATTTTTAAAACTAAGTAAAATTTAGTTGAATTGCGTAATAATTTTTTGTCTTTGAAATCGAAAATGAAAAATTGAGAAAATCAGGTGTACGAGGCTGTTATTAAATTGCTTTATGCTACAAAGCTAATTTTATTTCACAAAAATTGTTTTTATATAACCATTGACAATTTAGATGGTCTCCATAATTTTTGGTATATAAGTCTGTATGATTTGTGGTATAACTCTTTATAATTCGGTTTTAAAGAATATTATGGTATAATTTTGTTATAATAAACGTAAATTAGTGGAAAATTCATGCTTAAATTTCTAATATTCATGCGAATTCAATGAATTTTATAAAGTTTTTTTGTGTAGAACCAATTGTTATTAGAATCATATTATTGCCAATACCATTCGAAAATACGTTGAATTCGAGATTATTCAAATATTTGTTAATAATTTATTTCTTAATTAAATTTATTACATTAATAATAATATTACTTTAATATTAATATTTACTCATAGTATCAGATAATGATTATGTAATAAATAAACTTCATGTGCTATACTTACTGAGAACAATGCAAAGAAAAATATATTGTGTGATCACATAAATTTTAAGATATTCCGCGTTCAATTTGCATAAAATGAAAAGAAAAATTCTTCACCATATTGTAAAGGGCATAATTCCACTTTAACATTATTTCATATGCTTATGGTATTAAAAATTATTTCAATCCAAGACATTTACAATTAAATAAACTTGTGTTATAGACAATTTGTATACATACATATAAGTACATACCAATTAAGTTGGGTCAAACCAATGGTTTGTAAAGTAGCACTTTTTGTTTTTCAATGTTTATTAAAATTAGTTTCGTTCAGAGTATATTTCAGAGATTGCATATATTTAGAATGTGGCAAAAAAAAAAGTGATAAAAGGCATTAAAATGTTCGAATTTAACAATTAAGTTGTAAAGTTACGATTAAGCTGTAGAAGTTTTGTGAACGGAAGGAACGAACGGACGGACAATGAGAGCGAAACTAATAAGAACTTTTTTTTCAAAAAATGCTAAAAAGACATATTACTAAAAAAAAAAAACTGAATTAACCGCATAAAAATAATTTTTAAATATTGAAACCACCATTTGTAGTCAATATTGATTATATTTGCGGTTTTGTTAAATTGTTTTTGCAATTTTTATTTCCTCATTTTGCAATATTGTTTGCCATTATCTGCGGTCAATTCAAATAGGATTCATTATTTTTAATAATAATTTCAAAAAATAAAAAATAAAAATATAACAAACACATTTTCACATAAAAAATCAAAAAACAAAAATATTTTCAATAATTATTTCAATAACATTTGCAAAATTTAATCATAATAAAATTCATCACATAATTAAAAAGTATTAAAGGGATTTATTTTTAAAATTTATTATTCAATATATTAATTTTTTTTTTTAAATAAAAAAAACAAATAATTAAAAAAAAATTTTTATTTGTATAAAATTCCAATATAAGTGCATAATATCAAATAATATTTCTTACGTTGTTGTGATTTTCGAGGATGTTTTAAAATTTTCTAGTTTTCAACCGACATAACAGTACACCGCGATTACATATGAGGATCTATTGTGTTCCCAACCCTTTTAGTACGAAGAATGCCCCACAACACACGCTCGAAACTCACAGCCCTTATGAATTCAAGAAACTTGTGAGGAACGGAAAATAGATACCCCGATAGGAAAACCCCCCAGTATTTCCCTTCTCCTATGAAGAAGAGTGAAATACTGGGGGGTTTTAAGAGGAAGTGTACTGAGGTCTCCTTATTCCCCCCACTTTATCTCATTATGTGTATTTGTTAATGCTAAAAAACTTATAGTCAAACGTACATTGCATACGAGTATAGATAATAATTATTCGTTAAATACTCCGATTAAAAAAAATTAAATTGTTTACGTTTAAATTATTTTTTCCGTCAAACTTTATCAATTCATTGCTTATGTGTTTTAATTTTTTCAGCTTAACTTTTTAAGGTCAATTGAAGTTTTAAAAAATGGTAATTTAGTAGGTGGCTTTTTTAAATGGTTTTTGTTTTCGTAAATACTTTTTAATCATACAATGTTTTATTTCACAGGTATTTGATTTGTATAGCTTTATGAGAAGTGGTTCAATAATAACAATATATATCAATAATAACTACATTATATATAGATAGTTTCGTTGAATCAATAAAATTAAAGGATCCCTTATAATAAAAATATTTTAGTAAAAGCTTTTCAAAAACTTTTAGTATAATAGGAGTGAAAATGCTATACATGAGAATAAAATTACCCCGAGAGAGAATTTAAGACAATTAGTGTCAAAATTTTATTTAACTCATGGAGTAAATTTACTACAAAAAATTATGTTTGTTAAATAAGAAATTGTACTACAAAACTACGTGCTCTATGATAGAGTAAAATCATTTCAGTCAAGTAAATTGCAAAATTTTTTTGAAGCTGTGTAAAATTATTAATGCAATTATAATCGAAATTTTTTCAATTAATTCCATAGTACTCAATTCTTTTGCTTCAACTTTTAATAAATGTTTTCAATAAATACATAGCTACTAGAAAAATTTTATAATGTAATTTTAATCCTTATTATAGTATGTCTTCTTAATTATTTTGGGATTTTGGAAAATTATTAATAGCTATTAATCTTGGAATAATCTGCTCTGATTCCTCTTCGATGAAATTGCTAATGTAATATGATTTTATAATATGATAAGCTCATTATACAGATGTCAATGTCACTAGAAAGAAACTTTTAAGCATTCTTAAAAAATAATTTATTAAAAAATTGATATAAGGATTAATATGTATTTCAAAATATTCCTTAATTTATTTATGGGACGCGTATAAGCTTTTGAACAGCTATATAACTTTGATTGTAAATTTGGAGCATAAGCAAAAAATAATTGAAATAAATAATATAGAATGATTGAATATTAGTTCTTAAAACTGCTACTTTGTCTGATTTTAATTTAAAGTCTAAAGTGCAGAATACCTCTTTGTAAAATATGCGTTTTATAAGGTGTTAAGATAAATCAGTTTATCTTCAGCAGCTATTGTAATAAAATTTATAGCAAATTTGGAACAGTATTGCAAATAATTAAATTAATTTTCTTAAAAAATGAGTTCCTTTCAAAGTCATGCACGCTACGCATAATTAGCCATTTTTTAGAAAATTTATCATACTGAATACAAAATTAATCATCGAATCAAAGCATGGAATTAAACTATTTGTTTTGAAATGCATTGTATATAATAGGTATACGTGTTATCACGTTTATTTCGCTGTAAATAGAAAGAAAAAAATTTTCCGAAAAACTTGTAATGAAAAACAAATTCTACTTTTTAAAATTTAGTCCTTTTTTTTGTAAAGTTTTAAATGGTGTTCCTGGTTTCCGACACTCATTTCAAATGCTTACTTCATATACATGATAGATCCGACGTTGTCTATACTGTGTCAAGTCAATTTTCTTAGTTATAAGTTTTAATAAAATTTCTTTTAACCTTAAAATATTATAATATTCAAATATTAACGTATTTATTTTTATTATTCTTTACAGGTGAGTGAAAATAACATTGCATACATCTTAATTTTTTGTTCGCTATACAAAAAATACAAATTTTGTAAGTAAATTTTGAATTATAACTATAATTGTTTATTGTTATAACAGAAATTTAAATAATTCAATTGTTTAGTCATTAAAAGATTCGACCCAATAAATCTGGTTTGACCCGTCTTTTACTTCTATGTTTATTTCACAGCATGAACTATAAATTCAGGTTCTACTCTAAATTTTTCTCGTAAACCATATGTTCGATATAAAAAAATAAATTTCAGTTATCTGTGATAAAAAGAATGTACATATTTGAACGTATATTTTGTAAATTAGTAACTATTAAATTTGGAAAATATTTTCTAATATTTACTGTTAAATAAAGTTGGGTCAAACCAATGGTTTGTATTGTAGCACTTTTCCCTTCAACAAGTGAAAATTCTGCTTTTAAATACAGTCTATGTATACCTATCACACTATTAAAATTATTTTCATTCATATACAAAACTATTCCAAGGATTGCATATATTTAGGATGATGCATATATGCAGTCTTTGAAATAAAGCAAAAATTAATATAAAAAGGGGTTAACATAATGCTCGATTTTAAGAGTTAATTGTGTGAGTTAAGGAAAATAATTATATTTTTTAATGTCATGGAATTTACCGTTAGCTTTTTGCGTTTATAGAAATTTGAAAAAACGTGCGATTTCGGAAATATAAGGTGTCAAAAATTCAAATTTTACAAATTTCAAGGGGCGATAACTTGAGAGGGGGTGGAGATGGAAAAAAAATTTCTTCTAACGAAATGAACTATTTGTTAATGTCTAAAAGTCCCCAAAATTTCAAGCTTCTACAAGCTGGGGTCTAGAAGAAAAACGACATCAAAAATTTGGAAAAAAAGGACTTTAGATAACGGTAAATTTGAACGGCCATTTTGTTTTTCTAAAGTTTAACTGTAGTATACCGCGCTAGGGAAAGCAAGCCGCTGCCTTTCTGCGTTTGCAAAATTTCAAAAATGCTTATGGTTTCATTGCAACAAATAGTTAAAAAAGGCAATTTTTAAGGTTTTGGGAGGGTATAACTTCTAGAGGGGGGGAGATAGGTAAAAATTTTGTTCTACGGAAGTAAGTTTCTAGTAAAGGTCTATGTACATATAAAATTTCAGCTTTCTATCTTCAAGGGTGTAGAAGTTTTGTAAACAAAAAAAGTGTCCACGGACGGACGGACGGACGGACGGACGGACGGACGGACGGACGGGCGGACGGACGGACGGACAGAGTGAAACTAATAAGCACTTTTTTCAAAAAATTTTTTGGAAAAGTGCTAAAAAGAAATTAACACACTTACGTCATTTCGAAAAAATTTATTAATTTTCATCAATATTATTTACATTCAACACAATCTTAAATATCTTCATCAAACCATATTATATGAAGAAAGTGGAAATAGTATATTATGAAATCACGTCATTCTTACTTAACCTCAAATCCTTATACATTCTATAATAGTCATAATATAATATAGAATTCAACAAAATAGGATTTAAGAGAAACAAAATTAAAAGAGAAAATCTTTCTAATAAGAGAAATAATTAAAAATAATTTCATATATCGTTGCAAAAATGATGATGACGATGAGTGATGATGACTATAATAACTGACATGACAATATTTTATGCAAATGAAGAAATTCATTTCATATATTCAAAGTGTTTGTGTGGTTTACTTCCCACTTGTTTTCAATTTTATTTTGTTATTTTTTCTTTTCTCTAATACTTCATTTTTATACTGTCAATACAATGATGATAAATGTTACATGCTTCATAGTTTTAGGGTTAACAGATTTTTTAATTTTAAACAGGACATTTTTGAGATATTAAATACAATAGTTTAGTGAAAATTTAAGAGAATTCTCTAGTGTAGTGTTTTGGTACATGAACTAAAATATTAAACAGCACTTTTTAACTGCTTAATTCAGAATTATTTTACAATCATTAATTTAATATTCATATTATAAGTTTGTTCCGACATGTTCCCTCAATAATATATTAAAGAGTATTTTCAATAATCTTCAAATTTGTACTTTGACTTTAGCCTAAATTTTCTATAATATTTTTTTGAAACACCGTTTTTGTTTTGGAAAATTTACAACGAAATTTAATTTTCTATAATAAATTTAATATTGCTGGTAACAATAATTATTATTATTAAATATATATGTACTATAATAAATATTATTTTATAAGAAAAATATTATGTATAAATTTTGAGACAGATAACTGACATAATGTCACTTCCTAACGGTATTTATTCTAGTTGATTGAAATATCCGGATTAGCTTATCAACAATTCTATTTATTCTTTTCATCTCTTCCTATATATATATATACATATATACCGACAATTCCCATATTTTGTCGCATTATTATACACATACTACTTTTCTGTGATGATTCTGTGACTGTGATGATTTTATGCTCTGCATTGTATTTATGTACAATATCATTTCATATCTTGTATGTTCCTTTATTTACCGGCATGCATTTATCATAAAGAACATTTCGAATGTATATACATACATATGTGTGTTATGTATATTTATAGATAATGTTCAATAAAATTTATAATACTTTTTTTTTCCTGATATCCTTATAATACTTGTTTATCATTTCATTTGTATACAAATACATTGTATTGCAATGACTATAAAGTGTATAAGTATATTTTTAGAAATATAAAAAATAAATGTATGAATGTTTAACAAAAAATAAGAGAAAAAAAAGCAACAAACAATAATTGAATGCGAATAAAAAAGTTTTTCAACAAATGAGGAAATAAAAGAAAAATCGATAACAGTCATTTCACGTTCTAGTTTTTGCTTTATTATTTTATTTTTTATTTTTTGTGTTTAAATTTCACCTGTATAAAGGTTAAAGTATACAATTGTGCATGACGGCATATTTGTGCATATTTTGTGTTAATGAACTATTGAAAAATTATATGGAAAATTTTATGAATATTGAGAAACATGTCAATACCATTCATTTAATTTTATTGTTTGTTTTTTTCTAAATGAAAAATTTTAATCTCAATAATAATTCAATTCTATGCTAAAGGAATTGTTCGAATGTTTAAATTTTAAATATGAAATTTTTTATGCAAAATTTTGAATAGATTTTACAATAATTTTTAAAAAAAGAACGAACGATATTGTCTCGAAAGAGAAAATTATATAAGGGAAAAACAATGGAAGTTTCATTAAAAATCAAAATAGAATTATAATCTGAAATCTGTAGGAGCAGTTTCCTTATTTTAAAAATTGTATTTCGAGAAAACTTAAATTGTAGCTTGAATTTAATTTTTTAGAAAAATTATTCGGAGTTAATTCAAATACTGATTGACGCGACCCTTCGAATGGTGTACTTGGGTCTTTTAGCCATGTTGTGATACTGCCGAGTCTCTACTGATTGACTAAATATTAATGAAATGAAAATTAAACAGTTAGAAGGGGTTTGAAAATTTGAATGAATTTAAAAAAAATAACTTAAGAAGTCTTAATCTTCTAATTAGAAATGAGCTGGTATCTAAATCAAAACTTTTTGAAATTTTAGAATATTGTTCTCGATTTTGGTTCTGAGTTTTACCACAATAACTTTAAAAAAAGTTATTAATTTCAGCTTTGACACAAAATATTTTGAAAAATCTTAAAACTTTGACTCTTATATTGTTAATTCAAGCTTTCCCCTTGGCTTCAGTTTCATCATTACTGGCCGGATACTGGCCCTGATAGCGTCTTCGGCTGTTGTAAGTTATGCCTTCACAAGAACCCGCCTCTGGCTGATATTCTCCAGTTTGTTATCTAATTCAGTAGTACTACAAAAGCAAAAAGTACAAAAATATGAATGCTACTCAAATAGTTATTTTAATAAACTAAGATATTGAACTGTTCTCATACTGTAAACTTTAACGTCAATAAGTTTGATAATATAAAAGTAGGAAATTGGTTTTGGTTTCGATATAGCTGCAACTCTCTCTATTATATTGAACTTAATAACACTCAATACGCCCCATATTTTAAATATTTTTAAAACAGGAAAATATTTCAATTGCAAAATTTCCCTGGAACATAGAAAATATTTACCATTTTCAAAAAGATAAAAGTATAAAGTAAATATTTACAAAACGTTTACATATTTCCTTTTTTTCTGCTTTTAATTTCTCTTTTTGAAAAATTTACCATTCACAAGTAGTTATGCAATTTTTGCAAAATTTTCAAATAAATGGTATAGTTAAAATGTACTTGAATGTGGGAAAAATAGATAGAATTTTTTTTTTAATTGTATTAAAAAACCGAGAATAGTTTGTTCGTTTCTTATTTTTATTTTTTATTATAATTATGAATTCATTCGTATCGATCTCAATTGTATGTGCCTATACAAGTTATTGTCAATATGCAGACAAATTAAAAAGTTAATTAACTTCATAAAAAGTGTATAGTTAACGAAAATTACGTAATAAAAACCATGGTATATATGTATATAGATCGTGTTCATTTATTGAAATTACAGGCAATATTGCAATCAATTAATGTTAGTATAAAATTTATAAGGTTATTTATTGAAAATTTTCCAGTTAATGAAATGGAAACCTTACTTGTTGTGACAGTAACAACAGTTATTTAAAATTATGTAAATGTTACCATTATATTTTGTTTACATGTATGAATTTTAATGATTTAATCAATTTTATAATTAATTATCACATAAAAATTAGTTGACCACAATAAATTTTGTTGCAAAATGTGCAATGGAAGACTATTGTATAATTATAAATTTATTGTTGATTAATTTTGTACAAATTTTTCAATAATATTTTTAAATTATTTACAGAATTAATTTTTTCAAAAAACTATTCAGCAGTATTTGAAGAATAAATATTGCGTGCCTCTTGTAAGAGTAAATGTTATAGATAACATAAATACAAGAGAGTCTCCATAAATCTATCATCCTATACACACAACCACTACTCTTTTAAAAAAACAA